AGCCATTGCTTGCTAAGCTAAAACCAACGCTTTTTTTGGCTTATAAGCCAAAAGCGTTTTGGTTTTTTTTGGAATAGCAATTTTGTAATTGCTTTTTTTGCTTAAAGCGTTTGCCCTTCCGTTTTTCGATCCTTTTCGGTACAAAATTTAAAAAATTATAATTTTAAAAAATATTGGTTCCAGCGGATTTAACGCTTGTTAAGGTTTTGGCTTGTAATAAAATGTGCCAAATTTTTGTAATTAGTGTATACCGTAACTTGGTGGTTTGCTCCATACAAATATACCTTCCATTTTTCCAAAGCTTTAATAATAGCAAAAAGCTTTTTATTATAAATTTAATAATTTAACTTAGGTTTTTTAAGTTTTTGCAAAAAAAAAGCGCAAAAGTGCAGCTTTTTTTTCCTATCCCGTTAATTTAATTGTTTTCCGATCGCGTAATTTAACGCGTTGGTTTCGATTTCGAATGGTTTGTTAAGGTTTGGGATAACCAATATTAATTCCCGTAAAATAGCGTTTTTAAATTGCTTAAAAACAATTTGTTTTCGTATTTCCTAATGGAATTGGGTATCGTTTTTGGTAAAATTTGTAAGTAACGTAGCGTTATTATTAAACCTTTGCATAAACCGTCGATAAAAATTAAAAAACCCCAAAAACGCCCGTACCTTTCGTACGTTGGTAAGCGTTGGTTAATTAGCCATTTTTTGTACTTTGGCTGGGTTTATCCTAACCTTCCTTAGCGTAATAACGAACCCGAAAAAAACCATTTCCTGGGCGTGCCATACGCATTTGTTCGGGTTAACTAAAAGCTTTGCATTTTGTAGCTTTTGTAACATTTAATGCATTTATTGCTTATACTTTTCCAACGTTTTTAAATATATTAAAATATCGTTTAAATACGTTAAAACGAAAATGTTAAAGTGCTTTTGTAGCACGTGGTTAATTATTTGCTAAAAGGTAACTAGCGCGTTGGTAAGTTCGAAGGTTATAACTAACGATTTGTACATGCCAAACCGTATTTAAAAGGTTGTTATCCATTTTTATCTTTCTTTAATTCGAAACAATTTATATGCTTTTTAAAGGTTTAAAACCGTAAAATACCTAGCTTTACCAAGCTTATTGCGCAATTCGTTAATAAAAGGCAAAGGATATCGATTTTTTATTGTAATTTCGTTTAATGGTTAATAATTAATACATATTCGTTTTTTTCCGTTTTTTTTAGGCACAAATAAAATTCCGTATTTTATTGGAAATATCGAAGGTTTAATTACCCCTTTTTTCAAATCCTTTTATAGCTATTTTTTTAACCCTTTTTGCTGTTTGGGGTTAAATTAATATAGCTTTTGGTATTTAAATTACGCGTTTGGCTTAAGTTTAATTTTATGGTTAAACGGCCTATGTTTTGGAAGCACCGTTTCTAGGTTTTTTTGGAACAATTTCCAATATTTATGGTATTCCAAAAATACGTTGGCTAATTGTTATAACCTTTATTTAAATTTATTGTAAAGCGTTATTATGGTTTTTTGTAATAAAATTTAAAAGTTATTACTTTGCTTTATTCCCGTTGGAATACCTTTTTTTGGTTTTGTTTTTGCATTATTTGCGGCCCGTAATTGTTGGGCTTTTTTAATTGCTAGTAAAAGTTTTTATTAAAAATTGTTTTTTTTCCAATTAATTTTTAAATTATGCTTTTGTAATTACGGGATTTCGAAAACCATATTTTTGTTCCGTATTTTTAATGCGTTTAGCGTTATTTAAAAAGTTTTGCTTTGGTATCGAAAATTAAAGTAATTGGTTTTAATATTAATCCATTTGTTATTATATTTAATTAGCTTTTTTTTTATTGTTGTAAAAAAGTATAGCTTGTTTTTTTTGCGTATAAAAATACCGTATCGTAATATTATTTATAGCGATACGTAATTGCTTTAAGTACCGCAATTAATTAAAGTTTTTAAACAATAAAGGTTTTACCGCACCCGTATATAGAAATATTGCTTGTTCGGGCTAATCGTTGCTGCTAAAGTTTTTATTGCAAATAATTATCCTTTTTGTAGCTTTGGTATAAATAAATTTTTTAATTTTTTGTTTCGAAATGCTTTGTTTAAAGTTTGGATGGGTTTGTTTTCCATTTTTTGCGTACCCCCGCGTACTTTAAATTATTAAGGTTGCTAAAAAATTTATATAAGCTTTTTACGTTTTTGTTATACCGTATCGGTATGTATAAAAGCTTGTATTTTATTTGCCATGCTTTGGCTTTTTGCATAATGTAAATTTAGCATTCCAATTTTTTGCATTTTTGCTATTTTAAAATTTTGGCAATGTAAAGCATGGGTTATTAAAAGTTAATTCGAAATATTGCTAATTTTTCGTACTTTTTAGTAATAAACCATTTGGGTAATTGCTATATTAATTTAAGCTTAATAATTGGTTCGTTGGTTTATTAATAAAAAAAAAGTTATTTTAGAATTTTTAAACCAAATATATTGCACAATTCGTAACGAAGCATTTTCCTTAAAATAATTATAAATGCTTTTGGTAATTGGGCATAAAGCTATTATGGTTTTTTTTTTAACGTTGCTTTGCAACCTTTTAGCCCATTTTTAGCTATACGCTTGCAACCGGGTGTACTTTTGGTACGTAATTAAATGGTTGTTTTTAAGCTAATTAATGGGGCGTTTAAAATCGTTTTTAGCTAACGTAATTTTGTAAAAAGTGCCGTTTTCGTTTGGTAAGTTAACGTTTTAAAAGCGCCGTTGGATTTTAGCTTTGCTTTAGGCTTTTTTGCTTTTTTAAAATTGTTTGATTACGGTTTTCGAGCGTATTGGGTGCAAATTTTTTTTTTGCTTTCGTATAGCAAGCCTGCCCTAACGAAACGTTTTGTAATTGGTTTAACCCAATATTGCTGCGCACGCGTACGTTAAACTATCGGTTTTAATTATAACAAATTGGTTATAACCCGATTCGTACTTTTTTTTTAGTTATTGTTTGGCTTGCGTTTAAAAATTTTGCAGGTTAACGCTTTGGTTGCGTTTTAATTTGTATTTTTGTTGGTACCGTTTTTGGTACGCCGTTTGTATGTACCTTTGCGATATGCGGGCGTTTTTGGCGTACCGGCGGAAATTGTTTAAGCTTTTTTTGCTGCTTTTTTTTTGGATTTGTTGCTTTTAAACGTTATTCGTTCGTAAAAGCTTTTGCTTGTTACTTAGGCTTTAACTGGTTTAAAAATGGCAAAGTTCGGGTTTTAAAGGATTTTTACAATATTTTTTATGGTTGGTTTATTTTTTTTTCGTTGCTTTTTGGTTTAAAGTTAGGAATTGAATTGGGTTTGGCCCAAAACTTTAAGTTAAACTTTTATTAAGTTGCTTTATTTTTAAAGTTTTGCTTTTTAACAAAAGCAACCGATATTTTTTTTGTTCGGTAGCGCGCAAAAACTATTTCCAAAGTATTTCGTTTTGTAATTCGGGGTTTTTCCGAAAGTTTTTACCGATTTAAGCCTGGTTGCTTTCGGTATTGAAACCGGCTGGATTGCTATTGCAAATTGTTATAAAATCCTTTCGTTTGGTTATAGCCAATTGCTTGCAAGGAAACCATTTTATTGCGTTTTTATCGGAATGGTAAGCAACGCAATGGTTATTGGTGCATGCCGTTTAAAAAAACGCAAAGCCGGAATAGCCATTGTCTTTTGGTTTTATCGTTACTTTTTTAATTGCTATTGCTATTTTGGGTTTATCGTTTTAAAATATTTTTTTTTATTCCTTTTTTTAAAAGCAATTTTTTTTAATATGTTTAAATTGTTTATATTAAAAGCATTTGCTATCCTTAAAGTTTTGGAACTTGCGCTTTTTTTGTTTTTAATGCATAACGCCGGCGTTAAAATTTATAAGGTTAAAATAACGGCTATAAGCTGTGGATTTATTGCGGTTAAACCGTTGTTGCGATTGGTTGCTTTGTATTACAAGCTTGGTTTTTTATCCTTTTTTTTCCAAACGGCGCTTATACAATTTATCGCTGGTTTTAACCACAATAATAACGTATTCGGCGAAAAATTTGGATCGGTTAACCTTTAAAATTTTGTTTTTTACGTTATTTCGAAGCTTATTATATAAATGGGCCATTTTGGTTTGGTTGGTCCAATTAAATTTATTAATAAAACGTTAAAAATTGGAAACGTATTTTAATGTTGCGCTTTTTTATTAAAATTAAAATATTTTCTTTTTAGCAATTCGTTATTTATTAATTTAGCCAAATACGTTAATAATTTTTTTTTCGAACCGAACGAAATTGGCAAAAATAATTTTGGTTTTTTTTTGCTTTTGTTATAGCTTTTAAAAAAATTTGCCCATACGGGCTCGAACCATTCTTTTATTTTGCTTTTAAAGCGAATGGTTACGTAAGCAATCTTTTATTTTTTAATTGTAAATTAAATTTGGTAAAAAGCGAAATACCTTTAACATTTGGTTAAAAAAGTTTTAAAAGCGCTTTTTTTACCGTTGTACCAATTAAAGGTAAAAAATTTGTAAATTCGAACCGCCGTTTGCGGAACGCTAGTTTATTGCTTAAATTGGGTAAGGTTTGCGGTTATAGCTATAAACGCGGCTTTAACTTTTATTACTTTTGTTATATCGTAAGTTTTGTTTGCGTAGTTAAAATGTTCGTCGTTCCTTTTTGTAAAGGATTTGCCGATTTTGGTTGCTATTATTACTATTTGGTACCGGTTTGGGTGCTAAATAAAATTAGTTAAAATGTTACAATTAAGCTTTTGCTTTTAAGGTAAGGCATTAAAGGAATATCGAATAATAGCACGTAATTTAATAAATTAAAAGGATTTATAAGGTAATTTGGGTGCAGGTTTAAATGCTTGCTCCAAAGGTTATTTGGAAGTTAATTAAAATTTAACTAATGCCAAAGCCCTAATTAAAAATTACTTAGGACAGTAAAAAACCCTTTCCTTTTTATACCTTAATGCTTATTTTTTTGGGGTTGTGGATTAGTTGGCTTACGAAGCCAACTTTGTAAGCTTCTTTAAGCTTCCTCTGGATTAGTGGCTTACTTTCCCTGCTCCCCTAATCCATTAATCCCTGGTGGTTACGTAACCCTTTACCCTTTACGGGGTTTCCGTGCCGTGCCACCCCTCCTTCCTGGGCGAAGGTGGTTGTTGGTCGTAATACTTGCTAACAAGCTTAAAATTTATCCAAAAGGATTTAAAGCATTTCCATTTTGCTTTTGCTTGCGTTTTTGCTTTTTAAACGAACGGTTTGGAACGTAATTAAATTCCAATCCGTATAATATTATTGCTTGTTAATTTCCGTATTAAAATGCTTTTGTAATTTAAAATAAAAATTTTTAAAAAAATAACTTTTACTAATAATTTGGATAAAATAAATTTCGGTTTAACTTGTAAAAGTTAAAAAAAAAAGCGCATGTAATTGTAAAAAGGAAATGCTAAACGTTTTATAAATATTTGCAAAAATTAAAACCTTATCGTTTAAAATGTTATATTGCTTTTTTAAATATTTATGCGCTTTGTTTTACATGTTGCAAAAAGCTTTTAACAAGTTTAAATCGAACGGTACATTAAGCATTTCCAAAAATAAAAGCATGCGGTACTAATTTGTTATTTGGGGTGCCGGTTGGTATTGCAAAAAAACAAAGGTTAAAAAGGTTTTTCGGGAAATCGGGGTTAAAAAAGTTGCTTAAAAAATTGGGATTTGGCTTTTTGCCAAATTTTAAGCAATAAAGTATTTTTTAAAAATCCGGGGCCGGTTTTTTTAATTTAGTAAGTTATAAAAATGGATTCCGTTTAATCGGTAAGTTTTTTCTTTAGTAAAAAGCTAATTTTTGGTTTAATGCTTAAAGGAATTTAAAAAACGGTAATTTGGAAATGGCTATTTTTATTGGGGTACCGGGGAATAAAGCTAATTTTAAAATTGGGTTTTGGTTTCGTGCTCGTTGCGTTCGAACTTTCGTATTCGTCCGTTTTAAAAATCCTTAATTAACCGCTTTTCGGTAACTTTTTCGTTGCAAGCTTTAGCTCGTGCCGAAATTTTTGCAAATGGGAATGCAATTTCCGGCGCTTTGCTTTTATTTTAATAATTTGTTGTTAAAGGTTTTGCTGCTTTTTTAAGCGTTAGGTTTTGGGCGTTATTTATATCGGTTATTAACAAATCCAATTTTTTCGAACCCTTTAAATTCGCTTTGCTGGAAACGGTAATTTTTCGATTTGTTAAAAATTTAACGAATGCTTTTGGGGCCTTTTTGTTAAAATTTTCGAAAAAGGCGGAAAAAAAAAAATTCGCCGCTATAATAACGGTATTCGAGCATAAACTTAAAAATCCAAGTTTAAATTCGATCGTTAAAAGCGGCTTAAAATGCTTTTTTTAAAATATAATTTGCTTGTTGGAAAAGCTTTTCGTTACAAATGTTTATAAAATTTTAAAAAAAGCCCAAATTTTTAAATAATTTTGTAATTCTTTCCGTAAAATAAGTTTTTTTTAATCGAAATTATTATCGGAAAGTGCTTTTTGCGTTGCAAACATTTTATCGATAATGCTTATTTAATCGTTAAAATTTTGTTAAAAAAATTTGTAATTGTTTTTTTGGTAAATAAACGAGCAAATTCGCTTTGGGTAATTTTTTAATTTAAAAATTTGCGAAAGCTTAAAAATTAAAAATCCAATCCATTTTGGGAATTACACAACGCCCTTTCCTAAGTTCGTAAATTTTTTTAATTGGTTTTAACCTAATTGCTAAGCAGCGCGGGCCAAATAAAAAAGGAATTTATTTGTTTAGCAAATACGCTATCGAACGGGGAAATGGTATTCCTTTGCTTTTAAATCTTTTACTAACTTTCCTTTCAATTAAAAAATTTTAACGGGTAATTTAGCGCTAAATTTTTTACCTAACCGTTTTGTATTGCTTTTCGAACAACATTAATTAATGTTGGTAAAAATTTGGTACTTTTGTTAACGGTTCGGAAATTTCCTGTAAAAAGTAAACAAAAATCTTTATAATTTAAGGAAAAGTTTTATTATTGTGCACGAAAAGGAAAGAATTTATTTACCAAAAGGAAGGCACAAAATTGCCCGTTATATGCTTAAAAACGATTACCCCAAAGGGTGGTTCCTTGCTTTGCTTAAGGCAGATAGTGTTGGCCCGTGCGGGATTTGGAAGATCCCGGAACCCTCGTAACAGCCTCTTTTCTGGATCGCACGCGCACAGAAATACTGTTCCAACAAGCTTATTTATTATTTTAGCAACGAAAAATACCAAAAGCTAAATATGCAAAATTTTAAAAATAACGCTTTTTATAATTTTTTTAAAAGAAAACGTTTGTATTTCCGCTTTAAAAACGTATTTAGCGATATAATTAAGCATATTTTTAAATAAAATGCAAAAATTTGCATCCGTTTTAACCGTTTACGCTAAAATTACGCCGCGTATATATTAATTTATACGTTTATTGTTAAAGCGGGTACCGTTATATGTTAAGTAATTAAAATTAAACGTATCGGTAAAGTGGGCGGTAAAGTAAAAGGTACGAAAATAATGGAAGCGATAATTTTTTGTAGCAACAAAAGCCAAAAGTTAATATTTAGCAATAAAGCCCGAAAGCTAACCCTTAATAATAGCAACGGGCTAGCGCTTTAGCACTTTTTTTTTCCGCATATAATACGTAACGTTGCATTAATGCCGTTAAATTCGGTTGGTAATGCAGGAAAAGGATTTAAAAATAAGCTGCAAATCGTTAAGTTTAAAGCCGATATCGTATTTTAAAAAATTGTTTTCGTTAAGCGGTAAAGTACGGCCAAGCTTTATATTTTTGGCGGTAACGTGCATATTTTAAAACTTTGTAAAATGCTTTTTGCTTTCCTTTGCTTTTATTAAAATAACGTTGGAAGCGTTAATTACCCAAAACAAGCCGTAAATGTAAAGGTTGCTACGGTTTTACTATTTGTAGCAAAACCAATAACCCGAAAATTTAAACCGCTTTATTAAGTACTTTTCGAAAAAAAATTTAAACCGGCGATAAAAGTGGTAAGCAACGATTTAAAGGTAAATTTAAAGGTTTTTACGGGCAATCCATTGTTTAACGGCATTATTGCTTCGCTTTTAATTATAATAACAAAGCATAACTTTAATTAAAAAGTGCCAGTGCAAATTGGCCGCTAAAAACGTTATAAAAAGGTAAAAATAGCCGAAAGCATAGCATAAAGCATTTAGCTTCCGGTTTTCCCCTTTCCAAAAAGGACGGGTACTTGTTATTGTTAATTTTATCTTTCGATAAAAAAAAGGAAAAAAGGCAATGTCCGTTTTGTACCTGCTTGTTTATACTTTTAATGGTTGCGGGCTTATAATATTTACCCGCAAATGGTAAAAAAATACCGGTGCACGCTAAAACGCTTTAAAAAAATTTAAATTTACCAAACCGCAACGTGGTATAAAAGGAAAATAACGTAACGATAAGGAAAAATGTTGCTTTAAACATGCTAAAAAAATGGGAAAATATTAATATACCTTTTAAAACATTAACAAAGCAAACGATAAAATTAAGCAAAGCTTAACTTTTAACGGTATCCCCGTTAAAAGCTTTTTTTAATTAATTTACGCTATCGAATTTGTAACGGGTGCCAGTACGGTTAACGAAAAAGTTGCTTTTTTTATTAATTTAAACTTTTATTATAATGTTAAAAGCAACGTATCGAAAGCGGGCGTGGTTTGCAAAACGCCCGTTATGCTAATGTAAAGCATATTGCATTTAAATTGCAAAATTAACCTATTGCAAGCAAAAAAAGGTATATTTACCGGTTCCGTAAAGCATTAATAAAAAAAAGCCAAATTTATTAAAGCAACGCAATAGTTAAAATCGTTAATAAGCGTAAATTTAACGGCGGGCAAAAAAAAACGTTATTTTTAACGGGGCGTTTTAAAAAGCGCTAAAAGCTTGCAATGCGCATTAAAACGGCGGCAAAATCGCCGGTTTTGCGGAATACTTGGGCCCGGAATCGGTCGAAATTTCGTTAATTGCTTATAAAATTGGGAATAACAGCGTTTTTTCGCTTACCCTTTGCGTTTGCGCAAATTGCTGTTTGGAAAGCTTTATAATTAATTTTGTTAACGTTAACGTGCATAAGCTAATCCCGCACGTTATCGTTTTTAAGCAAAAACTTTAAAAAAATTTCGTTAATTTCCAAATTTTTATAGCCAAGCTAATTAACCATTAATTAAATAAATTAAACTTAAATAATGTAACGCTAAACCTTAAAATCCATTTTAAAAATACGGAATATATGGTTATTGTTAATAAAAGCAAAAGGCTTAGCATTATTTGCACGGCCTTTTTAACTTTAACTTCGATTTTAACCCCGATTTTAACCAGCGTTTGCAAAACCATTAGCAAAAAAGCCGCTAATAAAAGGGATAAAGCGGAAAATAACAACGCTAACGTTCCGAAAAAAAAAGGAATTTATTGTACAAAGCGCTTATATTGCGTTAAAAGCAAATAATATAACTTTAATACTTTAATTGCTATTTACGCATAAAAAAAGCGTTAATATAAATGTAAATTTTAAATATTATTTGCTTTTCGATTTTTATTAAAATGCTAAAATTTTTATACTTTTGCGGCATATTTTTAAAATGCATATAATTTTCGTTAAAAAATAAAAAAGGAAGGTTAGCAAGTTAACCGGCGTTTTTGTAACGGCAATTACCGCAAACGCTATTGCAAACGTTAAAGTTAAACCATTTGCGTTAACAATAAAAGCATTTTTTTTTAAATAAAATCGCCGTTTACGAATTAACGGAAATTGCGCATCCATTTAAGCTTATAATTATTAACGCATTATTATTAAAAATTATTTGTAAAAAAAATTTAAAATTTTTTAAGTAAAATGCGGGTTAATTTTTTTGTTTAGCTTAAAAAAAGCTAAAATAATTACTTTATTAAATCGTTTAATTGCTTATAAAAAGGTTATAAATTAACGTTTGTAAAAAAAAAGGATCGTAAAAAAAACTTTCGTTATTGCGGAACAAATATTCCGAAAAAGGTAAAAATATTGTTTGCAAAAAAAGTGCAAATTAAAAACGGCAAAGTTTAAGTTAAAAAGCGTTATAAAAATTACCAAATTGTTTATGCTTTTGTTTTTATTAACGTTAACGTTTTTCGAATATACGTTAAACCTTTTTACGGTTAAATGGAAAAAAAGTAAAAGGGTTTAAATTTGTTATAAAATGCTTTAATAATTGCGTGGGTAAAATTTCGTTGCCAGCATAACGGTAAATTCGGTATTTGCGCTAAATGGTAACACAACGGCTTTATGCCCGTTATATAAACGCAAAAGCATTAAAATTTATGTTACGGGAAAAAGGAACGGTTAAAAGCTTTAGCAAAAAAAGTAACGGCCGGGACGTAAGTGCCAGCCGGAAAGCAAGTACCGGTAAACTTTCCGCCGGAATAAAAAATTGGTTACTTTTATTAATTTTTTACTGAATAAAAAAGCGAGCATTTCGGTTAAACAATGCAAAATCCTTTGTGCGGGCCTTTTTAAAATTTAAAAAAATACGGTTAAAATTGCTAACGGCATTTCGGAAATTGCTGCCGGCCTTTTTAACGAAGCTTTATTAAAAGCAACATATTAAGCAATTAGTAATATGCTTGGTACCCTAAACAAATTTAAATTTGGCAAAAGGCTTAACTTTTTTGCAAATATAGCATTGTTTCGTTTTGGTTGGAAAAGGAAAGGGGTTAAAAGGATTGGAAAAATCGGTTATAATTGCAATTTGCAATTTGCAGCCTTTGCACCCCGCACATATTAACAATCTGGCCAAAAAAGCATTAATTAACGCGGAAAAGCTTAAATACTTTATTAATTAATTCGGTTTAATGCAATTTAATAACGTTATTAAAATTTTAAAAAAAAAGCGTACAAGCGGTTACCAACGGTAAAAAAATTGCAAAATAAAAATCGACTTTTTTTAGCGGGGTAAAAAAAAGCGCGGCATTAATCGTAAGCGTTTAATAAAGTACGGAGCGAAAGCACGTGCTTTTAACCCCATTATTTTAAATAGCAATAAGCGGTAAACGAGCGGTAAAAAGTAAATTTAGCAATAAATTTAATTGCTTTAAAATATAAGCCCCGCTTAAAGCATTAATTAAAAGCCAAAATACTAAGCCAAATTTTGCAATAATTAACGATAAAATTAATTGCAATAACGTTGCCGTTACCAATTTGCATTAATTGCTTTAATTAATTAAATAAACAAATCCAATTATAATTTTTTTATTTAAATTTTTAACTTTTAAAGCGTAATTTCCGGGGGAAACCTTTTAAACCCCTTTTTTTTTTGCAAAAGGCTTTTTTTTTGCAAAAGGCTTTTTTTTTGCGAAGGGCTTTTTTCCTGCGGAAAGCTGCCATTACGCCCCCGCCCGCTACCGCATTATTTAAAATTAAAATTAACCAATTTTAAGCAAAAATATTTGGATTTTCGTACGTAAATTGGCTATAAACCATTTAAGCTACAAATTATATTTCAAATAGGAAAAACCTTTGTTAGCATTTTGTTAAATTTTCCGGTTAAAAAATAGCTACGCCTTCCGCGCACCAAAACCCTGCCTCCACTTGCTTACCTCCCTTCGCTGCGCTCCGTCCGGTAAGTGGCGGTGTTAGCAGGGTTTTGGTGCACGTCGGGCTTCGCTGAATAAAACTTTAAACCCAATCGACCCTTTGCTTTATCGTAATTACCTCGTACGGCCTTCGGCCTAACCCCGTAACATAATCCGATTCCGACCCTACCTTCCCAACCCCTCCTTGCACCACTTCGGAGGCCCAAGATGCAGAAGGTTAGGCCAAAGAGGAGGTAACGGGAGGGCCCTTGGGAAGGCCCAACCGTACCCCGACGAACGCACGCACAAAAACCGACGAATTCGATTACCATCCCTTTCTCCTTTAGATATTAACCATAAGCCCTAGCCTCCTGCAGCCTTAGCCTTAACCCCAACCATTACCGCCCCATGTAGCCCAAGATGCAGAAGGCTAGGCCGACAGGACGGTAGCGGGAAGGGAAAGGGCCGGAAGCTAAAGGGGCCAGGTTAGGTGCGTGGGAGGGCCCCCCAAGCGCCCTGGACAAGCTTGGGCAAAGAAAGCGGCAAAGGACCCCGTCAACCGAAGTTGACCTGTTACAAAGGGATTAAAGATCGGCTTAAAGAGGGAGTCTCAATGTATTGATAATTTCTTAAGGCCTTAAAGGAAATGCTTAAGGAATCAAAATCTCCTTGAAGGACCTCGAAAGGGAGGCCCCCTTCTTATAAGCCTTTCTGGCGGCCTACAGGAAGGTCGTAAGGTACGTATTTATGAAGGGTAAAACTTGCCGTGCCTCCGCCAAGGGTGGTTGGCACCTGCGGAGGACTTGTGGTTCTTTAACCCGATCCAACCGGAGGCCCTTTTCATATCATGGCCTCCTGATAGGCCGTTTGTTGGCCCAATCGGCCCGCTGTTGTTAGGGGGGGTTGATCCCCGTGTAACATAACCCAACCCGAGGCCCTTACGGCAAAGGGGCCAGCCCGGCAAATCAAATCGAGCTAACCAACCAACCATCAAGGCGCAGGACGCGGCCTTGCCGGCCGGGGGCTGTATTTGGGAGGACGGTTGATTCCCAATGGAGCCCTTACAAGCAGTCGAGCGGAGGAGAAAAAGTAGGCGCAACCACCGGTTCAACACCGCCACGGAGGCGCAACGCCATAAAGGCGGCACGCAGGCGCAGGGTTTTCCCCCTAGGCCCAACTCAAGGGTTTTTCCCCACGCATGTACCAAGTAGAAGCACTGAGGTCTCTTTTATAAACAAAGCAGCGTATAAATACTGTTACGACCAACAAACCACGGCCCAAAAAGGAGGCCAGGAGAGGTGGCGGCGCCAGCCAGCTGGAAGGGCCACCCCGCTCCGGGTCACGTAACTCTAAGGTAATACGTATGATACGGGACCGTATCATACGCATCACCACAACCACCGGTGATACGGTTACAACAGGCACGTATCAACAGGAGCTTGGTATGGTCGGAAGGGTATAAGGAAAGGTTTCCTACTATCTTAGGTAGTTCTTGATAGATGCATTGGCATTAGTCAATTTAAGTTAGCTTCCAAGTAACCCTTGGAGCAAGCATTCAGACCGCATCCAAGATACCTTGTGAATCCCCTCAATTGTCAAGTTACGTGCTACTGCTCAGTACTCCTAGGGTGCCCTACCTTAGGAGCAAAGGCTTAACTGTAACAAATACATACATATTTTTACGTTAATTTTACGTTAATTTTAAATTTTTTTTTACTAAAATAACGTTAGAAAATAATAAAATTGTATGAAAATTATATAAAATTCATGCCAAAAATGACTTGAAATAACTTGGTAAGTCAATTTAGTCAGTTAAAAAAAAAAGTCAGTCATTAGTTAGTCATCCCGTTGACTTTGACTGACTTGACTAAAAAAGTCATGACTTTTACTAATGACTTTTGACTAAATTCCGAACCCTGGGGATTAGGGATCGGATAGTGGACGGGTATTAATGGGGCATCGTCGGAGCACCAGTCCATTCACGTTTCCACCTTCAACGCGACCTCAACCACCTCGAGACGACTCGGAGAACGAGTCAACCCTGCCATCGAATAGATTGACCCACCGCTTAACCACCCCGCGCCGGCAGCTGTCCACCAACTCTTGAGCCCTTCCGTGGTTTCACCTTGGCTCGCACAATGGCTTCTTGGTTTCGCTTGGCTCCTCGGCATGCCGAGACAACACACGCGTCCTCGCTTCATTCACGTCATCGCTATCTGCCCGCCACCAAGGGGCAAGATATCTCGCTGCCGTCTTCCCACTGCTTGCCGATGCTTCGACTCCCGCAGGCACCCCGGAAGCATACATCAAACGAAGCTGTAGCTTGAGAATAGCTTGCCCGACACAATCCACCCATCACCGCCAAGATGGCTCGTGCAGTCACCCGGCTGTTGTCGCAAGGCTGGGAGGTTAAACTCGGCGCGCCGCCAGGGAGCGAGGGGGCCGAGGACCGGTGGCTCCCGGCCGGCCATCTTCCGACAGAGATTCACCTCGACCTATTCAGGAACGGCGTCATCCCAGACCCGCACCTGGACTTCAACGAACTCGCGGTGCGCTGGGTCGCCGATCGCCAGTGGACCTACCGCTGCCGCTTCCACGCTCCTCCGCCCTCGGGGACTACAGATCTCGTCTTGGAGGGCCTCGACACCTTTGCTGCCGTGTCGCTGAACGGCGACGAGATTCTAGTCTCGGACAATATGTTTGTCGAGCATCGGATCGACGTGACGGAAAAGCTTCGCCCCGGCACAAGCCCAAGCGGGGAGGCTGCGAACGAGCTCGTCATCGCCTTCGACTCGGCCCGCAAACGAGGCCTGCAGCTCGTCAAGGAGCACCCGGAGCACCGCTTCATCGTGCATCAGACCGAGATCAGCAGAGGCCCGGTCCGCAAGGCGCAGTACCAATGGGGCTGGGACTGGGGTCCCATCCTGCAGACCTGTGGTCCCTGGAAGCCCATCAAGCTGGAGACCTTTGTGACAAGAATTGGGGATGCGCGCATTTCCTACCGGTTGGCCAAGGACCTCGACAGCGCCCGTGTGACTGTCAAGGTGCAGACGCGCGGGGCAGCGCCGCCAGCGAGATGTTGCATCACACTCAACGACGACCTTGTCTATTCAGGGGAACCGAGCATCGCCTCCCGGGGAGAAGAGTTCAAAGTGGATTTCGATATCAAGAAACCGCAGCTATGGTGGCCTCGAGGCTTTGGCAAGCAGAACATGTACAAGATCAAGGTGTCCATAATGTCCCACGACGGGGACGTTCTTGACACGGTTGGCAAGAATATTGGGTTTCGAAAAGCCGAGCTCGTCAGGGAGAAGGATGCGTTTGGAGAGTCTTTTTACTTGCGCGTCAACGGCGTCGACATCTTCTGCGGTGGCTCCAACTGGATTCCGGCCGACAGCTTCCTCACCAGGACGACGCCAGACCAATACCGCGACTGGGTTTTTTCGCACGTCGCTGAGGGCAACCAAGCCATGGTGCGAGTCTGGGGCGGCGGCATCTACGAGCATGACGTCTTCTTTGACGCTTGCGACGAGGCCGGTATCCTTGTCTGGCAGGACTTTGCCTTTGCCTGCGCCAACTACCCGACATACCCATCGTTTCTGTCCTCGGTCGAAACAGAGGCGCGCCAGAACGTCAGGCGCCTGCGCCACCACCCGTCACTCGTCATATGGGCTGGCAACAACGAGGACTACCAGATAGTCGAGAGATACAAGCTGAAATATGATTTCGACGACAAGGACCCGCAGTCATGGCTCAAAACCGACTTCCCAGCCCGATACATATACGAGCACCTGCTTCCCAAGATAGTCGAGGAAGAACACGCCGGCGCCATCTACCGCCCCTCCAGCCCCTGGGGCAACGGCACTAGCACGACGCTTGTGGTCGACGCCACCGTCGGCGACGTGCACGAATGGGATCTCTGGCATGGAGCGATGAAACCTCACCAGCTACTTCCTGGCATGGGAGGACGGTTTATCAGCGAGTTTGGCATGGAGGCGTACCCGCACGTCCCGACGCTGTCCCGCGCAGTCACGGACCCGGCTCAACGCAGCCGCCCCGGTACTCTCGCGCTCGACTTCCGCAACAAGGCCATCGGTCACCAGCGACGCCTGCTGGCCTACCTGGGCGAGAACGTAGACCTGCACACCCCCACGGGCAGCACCGCGGCGCCGTCCTCGCTCGACGGCTTCACCTACCTGACGCAGGTCGTGCAGGCCGACGCCATGCGGTCCGCCTACGGCGGGTGGCGGCGGCGCTGGGGAGACGAGACGGGCGCGCGGCGCTGCGGCGGCGTCCTCGCCTGGCAGCTCAACGACTGCTGGCCCACCGTCAGCTGGAGCCTCGTCGACCACGACGGCGTGCGCAAGCCCGCCTGGTACGCGGTCCGCGAGGCGCTGAGGCCCGTCGTCGTCTGCGTCCGCCGGCCCTTCTTCGACTGCGCCTCGCGCCCGGCCGACGGGGGCCGGACGACGTGGCAGCGCGACACGGGCCACGTCGACCCCCGGGCCGCTTGGGGTTTTGGCCTCGGCGCCGTCGGCCACCACCGGGCCGTGTCCGATCTGTGGGTGTCCAACCTCGGCGCCGACGAGCGCGAGGGCGAGCTGCAGGTCAGCTTCGTGTCCATCAAGACGGGCAAGGTGCTGCGGCGGCGGCTGTTTGCCCGGCCGCTGGCGCTGCGGATCCAGGCCAACGGCACGACCGAGGTGTCCGCCAGGCCCAGGCGCGAGGGGGGCAGGCGGCGATCCTCGGCGGCGGCGGCCAACAAGGCTGGTGGCGGCAATCCCGCGGCGACGGCGTCCGCGGACGACGAGGACTCGTCCCCCATGGATCCCACGGATGCGGACCCTTTTGTCATGCACGCACAGCTCAGCACCTGGCCGGTCGGAGGGGAGAGCAAAACGGCAGCAGCTGCTGAGAGCGTGCACGACGTTTCGTGGCCCGACCCGCTAAAGTACATCGACTTTAGCAACAGGGGGCTCAAGGTCACCGCGGGCGAATCTGGCGGGAGCCAGGGCGACAAGCGGGCCTGGGTTGAGGTCAAGGCCGAGCGGCCCGTCAAGTGTTTTGTGTTCCAGGAGCGGCCCGGGGTGCGGTTGAGTGACAATGGCTTCGACGTGATTCCGGGCCATCCCGTTCGGGTCGGGGTGGATGGCTGCCACCCGCGGGAGCTGAAGTGGATGTATCTTGGGCAGGAGAGGCAGGAGGCTGACTGGGCCGACTGAGCCAGCTGCGTTACTTCCTGCTTTAGTTGTTTCTATCGCCCTGTCACTGAACTACTGTTAGCATGCATAACGCTAACGTTCAATGCCTCCAAGGTATGAAGCCACGGCAGGCCGATCTGGGAGTGACACTGCCTTTCTTTGTTTTTAAATGAGGACGACGAGTTTCCGTCTGCTCGTTTGGGGAGAAGAAACGCCAAAAAACTGGTCCTCCGTGCATGGTATGGAAGGTTGGTTAATTGGGTAGGCAATTGAACATTGAACCTAGCAGTCGTGGCATGTGTTCTATGTCTGTTCATTGAATGTCTGTTCATTGCTACCACGGGTGCGGATTGTGCGTGTGCGGTCCGGGTCTACGGGGTGGGGCCGTGTCCTCACGTGCCCTACGCCCCACCTCATATACGGCTGCACATTCGCATTCATAACTTTGACGAGAACAAGTTTATTGATGCCTAGGTTTGCTTGGATGCTAAACTAAACGGGATTGTAGACGACGACCACCATTCGGTGGTCCTTGAACAAGAATGCGAGGCTCCCCTGCATTGGCAGATATTGGACCCCTGCGTGCAACTGTGGAGTATCGAATCCCGGGACAGAGTGGGCGGCGAACGAGAAGCCAGTGCCGGCGGGGGCAGCGATTGCGTTCTGGAGCGTGATGTGCGTCGGGTTGTCGACCCGCGTCTGTGACTGCTCACCGACCCTGCATACCCCAACCGCGGCCACGGCTCCGCTCTCGTACTCGAACAGTGCTCCTGTGCACCCGCCGTTGGCATTGCTGAGCACCGTGATGGCCCGGACGTCCTCGAGCGAGACAGTCGAGGCGTACGAGTTCCCGTTCAGGAGGTCTGGGTATCTCTGGGGAGGCCATGGACGAGTTTCCTGGCCGCCCCCCGGGGGCTGGCCATCCGAGTGGCGGGGAGATGCCGCGATACCAGACGTGGGATTCGTTCCCGTCGCTTTGTTGTAGTACAGAAGCTTCGGGGGCGACGGGCAAATTGTGAATCTTGGAGATCCCTGCTCGCCGTGATTCGGCCCGAGGGAGACCAGGCCGGCAAGTTTGAGGCGGAACTGCTCCGTGCGGGCGGGCTCTTTGGTCAGATATCTGGTAATCATCATCATGTCCGGCTCGGGATTCAAAGCTTACTAGGAACCGCGGCTTGCCCCTCGGCCCCAGCTGCACTGCCATGGACAGAATCTCCTCGCCCTCCGGCAAGGGCAAGTGGACCCAGATCGTCTTCCTCCGCACGCTCGTGGGGAGGCGGTCGTTGGTGGCGCGGGCGCTGGGCTCGGCGGCCGTGTGGGCGTGGACCCCGTATAGCCTGCACCGGAAGTACAGAAAGGTGAGGCCGGTGGTCCTGGCGCCGCCGCTGTGGGCGAGCTCAATGGTGCAGAGCTGCGGCCGGGCTCCCAGGTTCGAGCAGCTGGGCGGCGTCGGCGGCGTCGGCGTGTCCCAAATGGGGACGGCCAGGGGCCCCCCGGGGAACTGAAGGCGCATGGCGCCGAACTGCCCCAAGACATTGTGTCAACGACGGAACCGAAGTCACAGCGCGCTCCATAAAGCTCCTGGCAGCTGCGCAGTAGACAAAGGAACAGGGCATGCCTACCTTGAACACCGCGGCAGTGTCCCGGAAGCTCGAGGCCTCCCACACGATGAAGGCCTTGGTTGCGGACTTTTGGCCGCTCTCTTGCGCCATCTGCGCCAGCCTCTCGATGCTCGCGGCCCCGCGGGCATCGACGGTGATGCGAATCACCGGGGGCAGAGCGGCGGCCGCGTCCTCCTCGACCACGACGGGCCGATGCCCACGCCTCCACTCGGCGATGCGGGCGAGGGGCACGGGGGCCACGGGGGGCTCGGGCGCCGCCGCCGCCGCCGCCGCCTCGCGGCTCTCGTCGGAAAGGCGGAGAGCCGCGCTCACCGCCGCGCTGTAGCGCCAGAACAGACACGGTCCGGTGAGGCCCCGGATCTGCTGGACGAGCTCCAGGGGCAGGCGGGTGGCGAGGGGGGCCAGGCCGGCTGCTGCGGCCACTTGGGGGCCGGGGTGCGAGGCCAGCGAGCTTGTCTCGGGCAGGCCGAGGTCGGGGGCGCCGCGCCAGGGGCTGCGAGCCGCTGCAAAGCCCCAGAGGCGGTCGAGGGCATCCTCGCTTGTGCACCACCTGCCGAATAGGACCAGGCATTCTTTGTGCAGGGGGACCGCCTCTGGGGAAGCGTCACACAGAGGGCAGGGCGACACGCGGCAGAACTCGAGATTGGTCCTGTGCTGGAGGGTCTTGAAGCCGTCGTGTGGGAAGGAGCAGGGCACTGTAGAGCATGTCTCTATCTTGTCCAGATTGGGGTGGCCCAGCACTGCGCGCCTAGGTTAGCTGGAAATCCATTCTGGCACTACCTAGGTAAGGAGGGCTAGGTAAGGAGGGCCGCTTGGGACTTTGAGGTGAGTGTAAAATGAGGCGAGTGTAAAAAGGCTGGCCTTACGAGCAACAAAGGGGTCCGAGGGCTGAAGAGCATCGCCGCAGAGGCCACAGGACGACAGCACGCGGTAATGGGCGGGGGGAGAATATAGGGCGTCCATCTTCTTGTGAGATTTGTGTCTCTAGGATTGTTAGGATTGCTGATCTGGACTGGTGTGCTTAGGCTGCGATTCTAGGGATTGTATCGCTACGGTAGCTAGGAAGCTGGTCTTGTTGGGGTGAAATTGAGGTCTTATTGGGGTGAAATTCAGGTCTTGTGCCGGTGAAATTGATGTCCTAGGTCTGGTCGCTAGACTATCTGCTCATGCTGTTGCTGTTGGCTTTGAGGTTTTACTGCTGCTGTTGCTGAGCGTGTGTCGTTTTTCTGTTGTGGAGGCTCTATATATGTTGGGTCGAGGAAGGGCAGGTATCGACAGAAACGGCAGGAGCCACCGGAACGGGGAGAGCAGCCCTCAACGCAGAGACAGAGAGACGTGCCCGGCGGGAAATAACGCTACCGGGTGCACATGGTTCCAACTCTGCAACTCGGCTAGAAAAATCTTGTATTCAATTATGAAGATAAGGCGCCGTTCTTGGACGGGTACTTTATATAGATGCACGCTCTCAGGATATACAGACGTTTTCCCATCGATGAGCTCTACGCCTGCCTCGCCTGATCCACGGATACGGCAGCCCGGTATGGGTGCCGTCTTGCAGCATTACTGCCCCCTGGTGTCGATGCTGGCGGTCCAGGAACTCGCCAGTCGCCAGCGGCACGTCCGAGTAGTACGTAGTTGCCCAGTCTGGGGTTTCCTCGGCCAGCACTGGCTTCTCGATGGAGAGGCCGATGACGTGGTGGAAGCAGGCACCCTCCCACTCAATCGGTGCGGCGCCTTTGCGAGGCACCAATAGCCTCGCCATGCTATTCACGGAACCGGTGGACGTGGTGGATGGAGGATTGAGGCTGTCCTGGACCGTCCAGAAGACCCAACCTGCATGGTAGAAGCGGATGAAGGCCTGGGCTCTGCATTTTTGCCATGGCCACAAGGTTCTGTCAGCGCCCAAGCCAGATAGAGCCAAGTTGGCGGCGTCGGTACTTGAGCACCTACACCCAATCCCGACACCCGTCCCAGTCATCGTCGCCGTTGACATTGAGGAAATTGAAAGCGGTCAAGTCGCTGTGGAGGTTCAACATGGCATTCTGGCCGAGGTGAGAGGCATGCCTGTAGGTGCCCTTGAGCATCGATATGACGTCGAAGAGCTGCAAATCGTCCTGGACGAGGGGGAACGTAAAGGCGGCATTCGTCCGCGGGAGTAGGCTGAAGGCTGTGTGAAGGGTGACTCTACAGGTTCCCTGGCCCCTCCGTGTCGTCTGCTCGTCGTCGGGAGGATCCATCCGCAGCCTGGCCGCAGCAAAGCGGCTACGACGTGGACTCAGCTCAAGTAGGAACGCAACCCGCTGCTTGGGCCCTCCCGTTTCGAGGAACTCCACGGCGAGGCGACTGACCTTTTGATCAAGGGCGAACCGGAAATACACGGACAAAAAGTCGGCATCATGGACGTCCCGTACGTCATATCTGTACTGCACCGCGTCTTCCGGGCCCGTGTGCAGCCTCGCCCGCCTTGCTTCGATATCTGCTATTCCTGGAGACGACATGTCGACGGACGGTGGAAGTTGTGACTTGCTGTGGTGTCCCCTGTAGATAACAATCAGAGGGTTGCAGCAGGTATGGTTTTTATAATGCTGCGAGCCTCATTGTATCGCGAACTGACGCGCTAATATCAAACACGAACATGATTCACTGGCAGGTAGGCTGACAAGAAGATGGGTCACGAATGGCGCGGAACTCGGCCAGTCATTACTCTATCTACGGGAGGGCAATGGAAACACATTCATGTAGAGGTTTCCCCCATGCGTCTGGACGATGATTCACCTTCTCGGGACTCAATGGTGTATTATCATCAGCCGAAGACGATGCGAGTACGCGCAGAGGTTTGTAGTGAGTGATACATGGCAAACCCATCATGTGATAGAGGGGGACAAAGACCGCCACGTGAGGCGTTACAATGAATGCCGGGCGGTTTGTTTGTGCTCGGCTGCCAAGCTGTCTTTGTGGTGTTCCGAGGTTGAAGGCCGGGTAATGGTGGGCGGCTAGGCAACAGGGTCAAAAAGACATTCACGCTCGATGCTGCACAGAAGACGCCGGCGTGCCAAGAAGGCGCTACCTACCCCTCATCCTGCATCTAAAGACTGGGGTAATTGACTTTATTGACGGTTATTGGGCAATGGCAACCAGCGTCATCTGCCTCTGCTAGTAGCCGAGCGTTACATGGATGCTACCACGCAAATACCCGCTCCCAAAAAGTTGGTTGTGGCTGCTGCAGGGCGAGTCAACAAGATGCATTGCCCGCCGATCCATGAGGGGGAGGGGGGATCGCCAAAGATTCTCCCGAGACGGCCTTCTCGGCCCCTGTTTGAACCGACGGTAGACGTCGGCGCGTCTGCAAGGCGCCATCACTGCATGATAAAAGCCGACGGCTGCGCGTCGACGACAGCACAAAACGGGAGGCCTGGCGCAGGCTTCTTCAAGGTTGCACCTTTTTCTTCTTGCCCTCTTCTTGCCCTCCAGGTTGGCGGATCCAAACCCAGCCACTAGTTCTTCTTCCATTTTCCCCTGCCCCGCGCCGTTCCAGAGGGAACATGACAGGTCAAAGCAGGTTGGGACGCTTCTTTTGGGCACTCCTAGTTGCTCATGAGGTTGTCGCCCAGAATGGCACCTCGGCTAAGGGTAAGCAAAGCCTAGACATTTCCCCCTCCATAGTTGGCTGACCTGACCCTTTCCTCCCATCTAGGCATCGTGGTCGACGGCACCTCCTTTGCTCTCAATGGCCATCACTCCTCGTACCGCTTCCATGTGGAAGAAGACACGGGCGACCTGATCACCGACCACTTTGGCGCCTTTGCTCTCGAGTCCATCCCCGTCATTCCCGTCTCGCCAAACGGCTGGGTTGGCCACATTGGCCGCGTCAGGCGCGAGTACCCCGAGTTCGGCCGTGGCGACTACCGCGTGCCCGCCGTTTCCATACGCCAGTCCGAGGGCTACCCGACCAGCGACCTGCGCTACCAGTCCCACAGGGTCGTACCGGGCAAGCCTGGCCTCCCCGGCCTCCCCGCAACTTTCGGCACCGACGACGACGTCTCCACCCTAGTCGTGTCTCTCTTTGACAACTACAGCTCCATCGCCGTGGACCTCTCATACTCGGTTTTCCCCAAGTATGATGCCGTCGTACGCAGCGTCAACATCACCAACCAAGGTCATGGAAACATCACAATCGACAAGGCGGCAAGCATCAGCGTCGACTTTCCACTTGGAGACATGGAAATGATTGAGCTGAGGGGCGACTGGGCGCGAGAGGGGATGAGAGTGCGACGCAAGGTGGACTACGGCACACAAGGGTAAGTTCCACCACTGCCTCGGAGAGAGAGAGAGAGAGAGAGAGAGAGAGAGAGAGAGAGCGGAAGAAGATGATGGCGCGAGGAACAAGCTGCCCTGCTGACCGAAAGAGGCAAACTCCACTAGCTTCGGGAGCACAACGGGATACTCGTCACATCTGCACAACCCGTTTGTGGCCCTTGTCTCACCCGAGACCACCGAGACACAAGGAGAGGCATGGGGTTTCTCGCTCGTCTACACTGGCTCCTTCGCCGTCGAGGTCGAGAAGGGGTCTCAGGGGCTCACGCGGGCGGTGATGGGGCTTAACCCTCAACAGCTCTCGTGGCCCTTGGGGCCGGGCGAGACGCTCACCACGCCCGAGGTTGTCGCCGTGTACTCGGCCGAGGGCGTGGGCGGCATGTCACGCAAACTGCACCGCCTGCAGCGCAATCACCTCATGCGAGGCCGCTACGTCAAGGAAACGCGCCCGGCACTGCTCAACAGCTGGGAAGGTCTCTACTTTGACTTCAACGCGAGCACAATCTACGATCTGGCGCAGTCGTCGGCCCGGCTGGGCGTCAAGCTCTTTGTGCTCGACGACGGCTGGTTCGGAGTCGACTACCCCCGCGTCAACGACCGTGCCGGCCTGGGCGACTGGCAGGCGAACCCGGCGCGCTTTCCCGACGGCGGCCTGCCCGCGCTCGTGAACAAGGTGACGGACCTCGACGTGACCAACTCGTCCGAGAAGCTCCGCTTCGGCCTCTGGTTCGAGCCCGAGATGGTCAACCCCAACTCGACGACGTACAGGAACCACCCCGACTGGGTCCTCCACGCCGGCAACTACCCTCGAACCCTGCGGCGAGACCAGCTCGTGCTCAACGTGGCCCTGCCCGAGGTGCAAGACTTTATCATCAAATCCATGTCGGACGTGCTCTCGTCGGCGCCCATCTCGTACGTCAAGTGGGACAACAACCGCGGCTTCATCGAGACGCCGTCCCCGGGCATCGGGCACTCGTATATGCTGGGCCTATACCGCGTCTTTGAGACGCTCACGACGCGATTCCCCGACGTGCTGTTCGAGGGCTGCGCGTCGGGCGGCGGGCGCGTCGACCCGGGGGTGCTGCACTATTTCCCGCAGGTGTGGACGTCGGACAACACGGACGGGCTCGACCGCGTCTTTATCCAGTTCGGCACCTCGCTGGCCTACCCGCCCGCCGCCATGGGCGCCCACATCTCGGCCGTCCCCAACCACCAGAACGGCCGGACCGTGCCCTTCACCTTCCGGGCCCACGTCGCCATGATGGGGGGCTCGTTCGGGCTCGAGCTCAAGCCGTCCGACATACCCGCCGCCGACCGCGCCCTGCTGCCGGGCCTCATGGCCCTGGCCGAGCAGGTCAACCCGGTCGTCATACGCGGCGACCTGTGGCGGCTGGCCCTACCCGAGGAGTCAAACTGGCCGGCTGCTCTGATGGTCGCGGAGGACGGGTCCCGGGCGGTGCTGTTCTACTTCCAGCTGCGCGCGACCGTCAACCAAGTCAAGCCGCGCCTGAGGTTAAGGGGGCTAGACGCGACGGCATCGTATCGCCTAGATGGGAACAGCACAAACACGTACGCGGGGTCGACGCTGATGAGCACTGGGCTAGAGTACAGCTTCAGTGGGGATTATGGCAGTCACGTTGTCCAGCTGGACAGGGTTTGATGCAACGCGTGCATCGGGTCATGGGGAATGCATCGGGTCATGGGAGAAGAGGAATGGGGGATGGTGTGAGGTGGGGCCGAAGTGGGGCCAAAGGCACGTAAATGCACGGCCCCACCCGGTAGACCTGGAAGGGACATTTAGAATTAATGCCTGAACGGCTCACCTCCAAGTTTGGTCATTATACGCAGAGGGAAAACGAACCACGATGTCAACGGCCTGTCCTCGGCTTATTCAAGACTGGGAATCGGTGTTTTGGGCGGTAGAGCGCAGGGACTTGAACCGCAGGGACCTACGTAAGGTAGGCGTGGTGGGGGCATCTGGGGCGATGGTCTCTGGCGAAGCCTCCTCCTCTTCTGGCGAAGCCTCCTCCTCCTCTGGCAAAGCCTCCTCCTCCTCTGGCGAGTCCTCCTCGTCCTCTGGCGAGTCCTCGTCCGCTTCTGCCATGGTTTCTGGCAAATCCCCCACCGCTTTTGCGCGGTTAGGTCGGCGCCTTGTACCACTGCTGGCCGCGGAACGATCGGGTAATGACTGATGCGGCTTCGCCTGCTGCTCGCCGCTTTCCGGAAGGCTGTCCAGCGAGGCCTGGATTTGCTTTAGCCGGTCGCCGTTGCCCCAGTCAATGATGTTCCGGACTACCTTGAGGAACTCGCGAAAATGCTCTGGTTCCTGGATCAAGAAACTCTTGACGTGCGCCGTGTAGTAGTCCACCTCGTCGTGCTTCCACGAGACGTTGAGGCGCGCCTCCGAGCCGTTCATGCAGATGCTGAATGCGGTGGTGTTGAGCGGCTGGGCCTCACCATTGCCGCAGTTCTTTGACTTGCGACGCAGGATTTCCGCCATCTCGACGCAGGACGCTGTTGCGCCGAGACACTGGTTGTCGGCGACCCAGAAGTTGCCCGCTCCACCCTTGAACTCGACCACCAAGAACGGGAACGCCAAACCCTTGCTATTGGCGACCACCTGGGCCTCCAAGGAGTTCAGCTGGGCTTGTTGCCTAGGGAATGCCGCTCGGAGATTGTACCCGTAGAGCACGTCAGGCACTGGAATGCTGACTCTGAATTCCGAGTCCGAACCCGGAACAACGCGTCTGGCCATGGGCAGTCTGCAGTCGCACCTGAGTGTGTCGGACGACTCGGTGGTAGGGAAAAAGTGCTTCATCGCATATTGTTGCACTTCCGCTTCCGTTGGGCCCCATAAAAGGTCCTCCAGATGTCCATCTTGCAAGATCTCATCATCTAAAGGGCCCTCAGAGTCTCGGCGCTGATTAACCCTGTCAACCAGGCCGGTGACGAATTCTGGCCTCGGGCCGCGACGGGGGCGCACGAACACGTGGTTCGTGGCCAAGTTGACGTCTCGATACAATGGGTCTTTGACAAGAGATGATGACGATGATTTGGTAGTTTTACCAGAAGGGCCCGTAGTCCCAACCGACGCCAGGTTTGCCAGGTCACCAGCATCCGGTGCGTTGCCCATCTCGGACAGAGCGGCTGAATGGGAATGATGGCTATCCGACTGGGGGCGTGCCTCGGGAATCGTCTCCAGCCACTCGGAAACGCGTGCTGGCAGGTCGTGACGGGGTTCGGGGAAGTCCCGGGGGAACGAGACGGGTCTACCGGGAAATCTGGGTTCCGGGTGCTCTAAACTCGTCTGTATCTGCTCCGGGTGCTCTAAACTCGTCTGTATCTGCTCCGTTAGCAAAGTTTCCACGCACCGAGGAAGGTGGCCAGCCATACTTGGTGTGTCTCCGTCACTCGCCTTCGCTTCAGAGGCTGCCGGTCAGTTCCGGTTGTCGTGCGGAGGAGCCGTCTCTTCCGGGCTTGCAAAGGCGTCAAGTCGCGGCCAAGGTTCTCGTTCGCGTGCTGGCTCTGCAGAGGCGTTGGGTCTGATGAGTGGCAGATTAGCAGTGTGCTCTCTCTCGTACATCGACGCAGACAGGTGCGATGCTACCTACTCAAGTAGGAGTCCGACATTGTGCAGACAAAGGCAACGGCAATGTAGTAGCTCGAAAGCACTGGCTATTGTGGGAAAGTAAACGGATCTTCTAGCAAAGGGGCGGTTGGTGCCGACGTGGCTAGAACACGGGCATGAAAGAGGATCGACTGAAGGGTAAATGAAAGTGTGTAGCGCTGTTGGGAAAACGAAGGCTCTGGCTTCAATAGGACGGCAGCCGGATCTTCTGATAAAGGGGCTGTGTCCACGGGCTTGAAAGGATTTGCAAACAAACGGAAAGTGAATGCCGCCGCCGGCGGAAATTTCTAGATGATGGGAGAGCCGTTTTGGGAAGAGAAATAAGGACGGGGACAAAAACGGGAATGAGAACAAGGAAAACCAAGCATTCAATACAAAGAAAACGAACTACCCAATTAACCATCGTTCCATACCATGCTTACCGTTATGCAAAGCAATGTGAAATAGCCTGCTCCCACGGAGAACCAGTTTTTTTTGGCCAAAAAATCAATAGGGGAAGCCACTAGGCAACAGTTGGCAGGAACATCAGCGCCGGCTGCCGCCTGCAGCGCCGGATCCCGTATAGCTGCTCTTGTCCTGGATCTGCCGAAGCGACTCCACGGCCCGCGACGGGCCCGAGCCCGAGCTGTCGCTGGACCTCGGGAGGTCCGGGGGCGGGAAGCTGATGTACGACGACGAGCGGCCCGTCTCGGCCGCCTTGCCCTTGCTATCGGGCACGCCGCCGCTCACGGTCGCGCTCCACTCCCAGCCGCCGCCGACGCCACCCGAGGGCGGGCCGCTTGGCAGGTTCGGCTGCAGGGTGCGGCTGGAGGAGCCGCCGCCGCCCGAGGGCCCGGCGCTTCCCCCCTTGGCGCTTCCCCCCTTGGCGCTGCCGCCGCCGCCGCTGCCGCCACGCGTGTTCACCTCAAAGGTGGCCCCCTTGCTGCCGCTCCCGGCCGGGGCGGAGCCGGAGCCGGAGCCAGCGCCCTTCTGGCCTGCGCTCCCGGTGTGGGGGTAGCCGATGCTCCGCTTGCCCCCGGTGCGGGCGGGATCGACCTTGGCGGGCCGCGGGCCCAGAGGCTCGCTGGCACTGCTGGATGCAGAGCTGCCGGGCTGGCCGCAGCAGGAGTTCCAGGTCTTCCAGGGCGAGGGGGCAGGCATCGTGGACTGTTCCTGTCTTCTTTTTTCGCTGGTGGTCTTGTGAGATTTTCTTTTGCCTGCACGGCTGTCAAATGCGGTCGTGGATATCAAGAGATTGAAGAGTTCCAAATCTGGATTTCGTGTGTTGCCCGTTGGGGGATTCGACTGATCTGTGTCTTGAAAAAGTAGCAAAACGAAAAGGAGTGCACCTCGAGGCATTTGCCTGCAGCATTTTATACTGCCTGGGAATGGAGTTATTAGGTAGCCCGCAAGGCTCTGTATCCTGCTAATGCTCTGATCAGAGGGGAGTGACTATTTATCCATTGGGGAGCGAATAGGTCAGAGGTAGTCGAGGTGGTAATTTGTAGACACGGGAGGGGGGGCAGACTCATCGCACCTCAATAAAGCACATTGTGCCAAAGTAGGGTATACAAGCCCATCTGCCGTGAACAAGGAGCCCCCCTCTGTGGCCAGCAACGTCCGAATCACTGGCACGATGCCCACCACTCGCTTAGAAAGACGCACTTGTACGGCGCCTGGCACACGGTCGGCCCCGTGTAATCCCTCCCACCACACTGCCCCCACTGCGGCACCCCCGGCGGTCCTCCAGTCTGCGTCGGCGTGACGGTGCTGCTGGAAGTGGTCCTGGTCGTGGTTGACGTGACCAGCGTCGTCGGGGTCGCCGTAGTCGTCGTCGCCGTCACGGGGGGCTGCTGCCCACCGCCCCCACCACCGAGGGCGACCGCGACGCCGTCCAGCCACCCGGGGTTGGCCCAGGCCTGCGACGCGTCCCAGACCATGACACCAGCGAGGCTGGCGAAACGGCGGGCGTAGGTTATGATTGCGGCCAGGGCCGGGACGTCGACGTACCCGCTGCCCGCGGCGCCCGCACGCCCGGGCACGCCGACCAGGATCTTGGTCCTGCCGCCGGTGTGGGACGTGGACCAGGCGTCCCACTGGGCCAGGTTGAAGATGGGCTGGTCGTCGACGCCCGGGCGGAAGTTGTGGACGCCGCACCAGTTGTTGTAAAATTGTACCATGACGAAATCAAACAAGACGTCTGACGACAGCACCACGTCCAGGGCCGCATCGGGCAGGAAGCACTGCGGGGCGGCCGTCAGGTAGAAGCGGCGCGCCGGCTGGCTCGCCGTGCCGCCCGTCGTCAGCGCGCGCAGGCGGCTGGCGAACGGGAGGAGGTTGGACAGGGGGGACTCGAAGTCGAGGTCGAAACCGTCGACGACGGCGGCGCCAAAGGGCCGCAGCGCCGTGGAGTCGCCGGCCTGAGTGGGCCCAAAGGTCGCCCAGACCTTGTCGGCGGCCGCCACGGCCTCGGCCTCGGAGCGGAAGCCGCCCTCGGTGTAGGTCGCGCCGCCGATGGAGAGGAGGATTGTCTTGCCCAGGGCCTGGCAGGCCTGGATGTCTTGCCTGGAAGACAAGCGGGGGGTTTTAGCATCAGGGCCATGTCAGGGGGCGTCTGCCACGGATGGGAGGGAGGGGGGAGGAAGGGGGGGAGGAGGGGAGGGAGGGGGAGGGAGGGGAGGGGGGATTGGAGCACAAAGAGCCAACGGAGCCGGCTTACTGAATCTCTGGACATTCAAGCAGGGTCGTGCCGGGGAACGGCGTGCATCTATCGCCGGCATTCGCAAAGTTGACGGTCGTGGGGTTGTATATGATGTTGAGAAAAGCGAGTGGGATCACCTGGTTCCGATTTCTTTGTCGTCAGCTCTTGCTTCTGGAGGGGTGTGTCTCGTGAAAGAGCGCTTCTGGGGACGGTGCACTCGACCGAGACTTACGTTGACGTTGCTCTCTGGGGGTGCAGGCTCACGGTCAGTATCTGGTTAGAATTCCCCACTGGCCCTGGTCGACCTGGTACGGCGTCATCTCTTTACCTGAGCAGTAGGTAGACAGCCGCTGCTGCGCTCCGTCCTGGCCCGTCGGGCGGTTGATGGAGTTCTGGCCTGCTACATGTCAGTTCTGTGCTTGGAGCTGGCAGCAAAGGCGTGACCTACCCCAATAGACGGCAAGATTGTTCTGGGCACTTGGGCTAAAGCCGCAGATGACCGTCGCGGCCTGGAAGACCCAGGCCGCGAGGAGAGGCATGAGGAAAGATGGGCGAGGAAGCATGGCTCGTAGCTAGACCAGGTCGGCCGAGGGGTGGTTTGTGGTGCCTGCCGTGGAAAGTGGGCGCAAGACGAGTGGAGCCTACAAAATCTCTGTTCTCTGTTGGACTTCTTGTGGAAGGCTCGACTCTGTTCCCTGTTGGACTTCTTATGGAAGGCTCGACTTTAGCTCTCCGAGTCCCTCCATCTCAATTCCTCAGAAAGACTGGCGTACAGCCCATGTTTATTTATCGAGTGGCAGAATGCTCCCGGCGTCCCACCCCCTGACCCATCACTCCCTGCATCCCAGACCATCGTCGACTCTCTGTCCTAGACAGCGCTAGACCTTGCTGCTGCAGTCCACGTCAGAAGATCACTTGCTCGTTTCCCCGAAGCCATGAGGCGGAAATGATCTCGCCCATCCCCGCCCATCCCCGCCGCGATGATACAGAATGGGTAGCATCGAACTGATATCACCAGCAGCATCATGTCTTGGGCAATGGTCGAGACTTGTTCGAATCACAATCCGTTTTTCATCGTCCGTACAAAGGGCAAGGGGAACGGCCCTTTTACCCCCTGCCCACCCACACACAAGAAAGGCCAACTCACGTGTGCCGGCGTACATGTCACTCGCCTGCAACAGCTCAGGAACGGCACGTTACCCGAAAAAAAAAGGGGGAGCATCACAAAGCTGGCCAGATATCCGTCCTGCGTGACACATACAAACTAGGGCCGTAAGTGGCCAGGAAACAAATGAGCGCATCAAGGAGGGGGTCTGGATCTGGCAGCTCCGCCTGTGGGATGGCGTAGCATTGTTCTTACAACAAGGGCAAGCCCGGCTTCTTTGTAGCCATCTCTGGGTTGAGTGGGAGGGCTGGTTTTGGATCCCTATTGGCTCGATACTTCACATGAGCTCGACGACCCGGACATGGTGCTGCTCCACTGCGACCCCACAAAATCAAAAAGGTGGTGGTGTAATTTCACCTTCAAGTGGCATGTCCATACAAGTCGACTATCTTTCAACCAGAACCCTGAGAACATACTGCCATGTGCACTCTTTGCTGTGCTGGCATCCGTCCCGAGACTTTTATCGTTGGCCGTGCAACGTTGCACCGCTCCGGCGAGGTCAGGGAGTGCAACGATACGTGAGACAATGGCGGAGCTGTAGTGGCTCGGCTGCCCGGACAAAGAAGTTCGCCAAAACAAGCCGCACGCAAGTCAGGCTGTAATGGTTCGGTTGCCCGAATAAAGGACTTCGTGCTCCTTTGCCAGGGTTTAGCGTTTAATGTTCCATCCAGCAAAATATACAAGCAACAGCCCATAGCTCACGAAAAAGGCACAATAAAAACGAAATTCGTATTCCCTTGCCAGGTTTTAGCGTTTAATGTTCCGTCCAGCAAAATATACAAGCAACAGCCCATAGCTTACGAAAAAGGCACAATGAGGGATGAATCAATAGCATTATGGTTAACGTGCGTAAATACAAGGCACACTCGTATTTGCACACTTGCTGACGTTCCCATTTTGCTGCTGTCTGTAATCATCCATATCACACCATTTGCCAGCTCCTGCCGCCCTCCCCGTCATTACTCCCATTGCTTTTTTTGAGGAGAACTCGTTGGGTCCTTGGCCTACTTTCTAGGCTTGGGTACATGGTGTCCTGTCTGACACCCCGGGGTATCCGCGCCTATTTGCTGACAGCAGTCCCAGATGAAGCCTCCGGGATGTTCTTCCCGCGCCCAGTCAGAATCAACCCAACGGCAACCCTCATCCTCCCCAGAAGTCGCCTTCATAGTCAACTTTGCTATCCCCTGTAGAACGAGTTAGATCAGATCTGGTCGGGTGATTGCAAGGTAGAGGGAGTCCTTTGAGCCTACCATAATGCCACACACAGCTTGTAGGACCATTGTCCTCAACATCGTACTCCTCCTTGCATTGCTCGCACGTTTCGTAGCGCGGCTGCACATGCTTCTGCTTCTTTCTCGGCGGTGCGGCTTCCTCCGCAGACGCCTCGTCCTCGTCGTCGTTTGTCAAGTCTATCGTACCCAGGGCCTTTGGGACCGGCGTCTTCTTGCTGAAGTACTTGCTGACTGTCTCCGATTCCTCTGGGACTGTCTCCGATTCATTTGGGAGTAGCTTCTTGCCGAGGTACTTGCTGATTGTCTCCGATTTGGCGCATAGTTTGCGTACAACATAGCGCAGCTGGTCGGCACTAAGCGCGTCGATGGCTTCGTTGAGGGGTGCGAGCTGAGCCGCTCGTGAGGAATCCATGGTTCGAGAAGGAATGGCCGTTTGTGGAGATGGTGGGAGATGGTAGGAGGTGGCAGGAGATGGTAGGAGAGTAGCTGTTTGTGGAGATGGTAGGAGATGGTAGGAGAGCAGCTGTTTGTGGAGACGGCAGGAGATGGCAGGAGAGCAGCTGTTTGTGTCGAAAGGATCTCGCCGGCACGTGTCGCGCAGCCCTAACCCCACGACACATCGGGACTGGATTGGCAGGAGCTTGGGCTGGTTGGTCCTTTCTTCGGGGTATACCAGTGCTTCCTGGCCAGGAGTTTGTGCTCCTTTGCCAGGCTTTCGCCTTTAATGTTCCAACCAGTAAGGTATGCAAGCAATAACACATAGCTTACGAAAAAGGCACAATAAGAAACGAATAAGATTTTAAGTTATAAAGGTCCTTTCGAATCCCTCCTTTCCCGTACTCC